TCGTGTCTTAGTTAATTAATGGGATTTAGGAAAAACAATACTTACACATATAAGTAAATTATATAGTTTTATAATGAAAATACATGTCGCACATAACCGAATTAATGAAATCTAGATATGTTTGGTTGCCATAGGATTCTTGTTTGTTATGATTTGACTTGTAGGAGCAGGACAACCCATGTGATTTTATTTTATTTATTTAATTTTATCCAAAACCTACATCACATGTAAATAATATAATGTGTTCAGATGTTTATTGTTATTAAATATATTGTTGATTAGCGAAAAATCTATAACTTTCTTTAAAGATATTTATTAAAGTTAATCAATCTTAATTTAACCAATATTACTACTAAACAACTAGTAATATTGGTGTGGCTAGCCCGACGTGATTAATAATTAGAATGCAGTGTGGAAGCAACTTAGAAACTCCAAAAATGAACGAAAATCAACAATCAAAAGAAGAAAATCTTGAAATAAGCAAAGTCTCTGTTAAAATACCACTTGCAGAAATCACTACAGAAGTTGTGGCCAGATAACTTTATGACAATTGGATTGCACTCTTTCACATCCCATCCTCGCTCACATCTGACCAGGTCGACAATTTGAGGCAAACCTATTCAAAAACTTACGTTGTTTATATGGATTTAAATGGCAGAGGACAACTCCTTACCACCCTCAATGTAATGGAAATTGGAACGACTACATTGAACCCTGAAAACTCCTCTGAGAGCAAATGGTTCATTAAAATGGTCAGTAGCCCTATCAACGTTCTTCTGGGTTTACAAGCCTCATTCAACTCTGATACCAGTTTCTCCATTGCACAATTTGTATACGACACCACTATCAAGTTGCCTTGCGAATTTCTTGGACAGCCAGCTCAACGCATAAGCGATGCAGAAACTTTTGAATTGCAACTACAAAACACTAAGAGACAACTGAAACCTGTTACAGTGAAGCTAAAGACCAACAAGCCATTCTTCATTCATAAAGATTTGGCTGAATGCAATCATGTGTTTGTAAGAATTGACCAAATAAAATAAACCTTGGAAACAGCTTATGAAGGATCCTTCAAATTGATTGCCAGATCTGACAAATTTTTCACACTGCAATTGAAGAGCAGAGAAACGAACATATCAGTAGACCGCTTAAGCCAGCTTATCTCTTGGCGTCATCAGAAGAACCTGATCTTCGTACAACAGAACCAGACCGTCGTTCTGTACAAACTTCTCCTGAAGAGACTAACGAACTCTGTTTAAGTCCCAGTACCAGTAAACCACTAATACAAACACAAACCACACGTAGTGGTCGTTCAGTGAAGATTCAATCTCAGTACTTGGAGAGAATTTTTTTTAAAAGTTTACATTATATTTCAGTCTTTAAGAAATGTCGTGACTGTGTCTCTGGGAGGCAGTGATGTAGGAGCAGGACAACCCATATGATTTGATTTGATTTATTTAAATTTATCAACAATCGATATCACATGTAAAAAATATAATGTGTTCAGATGTTTATTGTGATTAAATATATTGTGTTGATTAGCAGAAACTCTTTCTAATGATTTTACATTTATTTTAAGTATTTTTTTAATTAAAAAATTATTTTAGTGATGAAATTTTAATCAAATAATTTATTTTCATGTACGTGTTCACATATTATCTTGGCTAACATGAAATAATTGAGTAAGCGCTTTCAACATTGCTCAAGATTCTTGCTTTTCAAAATAGTTCAAAATGTTCTCACACCTATGACTTAAGAATATTTTGGCAAAACTGGATTTGTATTAGCATTCAATAAACTTTTTTTTTTTTTTATTATTATTTTAATGGAATTTACAACTGTATTACATAGAGAATACAATAAGTAAATGAGAAATTTGTAACATGGCATGTACAACATGAAGAGAAACTACCCATTGGTAGAACTCAACCAATAAAAACGAAATAAAAAAAAAAAGGAAGAGAATTGCAATTTTTTATATATCCTTTAAAATCATGTGTATAATTAAACAGGATTTATCTGTACTTCATTCTAGAGGTGACAAAAAGAAGTGTTTTTCAGTAAAAGGTTAATTGGATTTAATTCAGGATTGATTAATAATCATAAAGTATAAAAAATAAAATATTGAATGGAATTCAGAACAATGTATAACAACGTATAACAATGATGGTTTAGATAAGCATGTACCAGGTAGGTAACAGAAATAGATTTTTCCGGTAATAGGATGCAAAGAACAAAAGATTGAAAGAAAATAATTGTCTATTTATTTTTTTTCCAACTGGGGGCCTGTAAAGCAGTACTAGTAGAGATACTGTTTTAGGTATTAGCTAGTATTTCTGGAACAGGTTGGGAAGATCAGAAGGATAAGAAAAATAACAGTTATTAGATACTGTGGAATAGGTAATTAAGATCACTAGGATGGGACAAGATACTAAATATTTGATATTAGCAAGTATTTCTGGAACAAGTAGGTAAGATCTCAAGACTGAAACAAAATATACATTGGTATACATAATAGCAGTAGAAATACTGGTATTTGACACACCTTTTATTTTGGGAAATTATTAACAGATCCAAAGATCAATTAGATAATTTACTTACTTATTACAAAATAACAGGTCCAAAATTACTGAACTATCCCTACTTCATTCCAATAATTAGTTAAATAAATATAAGGAGCAGTTTATGCTATTTCGAATTAATGTAATACTTGGAAAAAGAATAATACAACTTCTAAGAAAAAATAAACTGAAAGGACAAATCAGTAAAGGTGAAGTGATATTCTTAAAAAAAGTTAAATTATTGTTAAGGAAAAAGATATAAAGTGGTATTTTTAAATATTTTCCCCTTCCTTTCTCATTAATTGATACCTTACTAAGTGAGAATGAATGTCAGCCTTCTAATGGATATAGGTGATTTGAATATATTTTTATTAGACCTTGAAAAATGCTAGTTATCTACTTCATCATCTGATGCATGCTTCATCGATCAATACAAAAAATCAATGTCTAAATCACTACAAAAAATTGAATATTTTTTGCTCTAAAAAATATTGCTTTATGGAATATTATATAGTATGACTGATTAGGTCCAGACAGATATAAATCAACTTATTGCCATATTTAATAAAACATTTTTATATTATATATTATTGCATAATATGAATAGCAATTGCGCCAAAGCTCTTTAGTATATAAAAATGTAATAGATTCAAACATAAACATATCATAAACAAACCAGCAAATACAATTACTTTAACTATTAATTCAGAAAAAAATTCAATTGAATAGAAGTCACAGGAATTCATTAGAGCTCTGATTGATTAAAAATATGAATGTCTTTTGATATTTCATTTAAATTTTTCAAAACACATTATTGAATCATAGGTAATAAAAATTTTAAATAAATAAGCCAAGCTAAGCAAATAGTTTAATTATAGAAACCAACTATAGTAAAACTTACACAAGTATTGTTGTTTTCTTACACTTAAAACTATATACATAATAAAAATAAATGATTGTCTACTGATATATATAATTCTGGAAATAATTGATAACAAAAATTAAACTGGAAGATAAAAAAAATATGTTTTAAATGTTGATCTATTAAAAGTACATATCACATTAATTTCACTGAACTTCTTTCATTACATTTTAATGATTTCAGTCTTATAAATACATTATGCCAAGTTCAGCGAACAAAATGACATGAACATGATTAATTAAAAACATAAATATTAAAACAACTACAAATCATGAACATAATAAAACCCAATAAAAATAATTAATTCGGGGATATTTCCATAAATATGGCACAATTCCAACAAAATTTTATACAAATACAATTGCTTTAACAGAAACATTGCTGAAAAAAATAACAAGTATTTTTATCTAAATGATTAAAAATTATAACATTTATTTTTGAAATAAATGAATAATACATTTTAACAAAAACAGATGGAAGGAAAAGATAATTTAGAAATAAAATATCAATGACATAAAGCAATGTAAATGTAGTGATACACTTGATAAATAAAAGCACCATTACAGATAATTATAAATAAATATCAGAAAATTACAAAATTTATTGACAATGATACAATAATACGAACCTAATTATCACATACTAACAGCCATTTTTTTACCAAACATTAATTTTTTTTTTAACACTGCAAAAACATGACTAGGAAACAAATAATAATAAAGTTTCCCAGCACATTGAACGCCTCAACAAGCTCAATCTTGAAGCTGCATAATAAATGGTGGTTTGATAAAGTATAAATAGATCATGGATACTCCAGCGTCCATTACTAGAGACTGACCTCATCATGAGGGACAGATTATCGAAGAAATGGGATATTTAAATAAGTTATCATTCTATTCCTGTTTTTTTTATGATGAATGCGCATTTTAAAATGTACATGTTAATATTCAACGACAAAAGGGAGGACATTTCCATTGCAAAAAAAGTATAACAAATCCATTTAATCTATGGTGGCTATAAAAAGTTTAAACGTATTTTCTCTGCAAGCCTCCTAAATAAACATTTTTTTTTATAAAATAATCTATTATCTAAAAAGCACTCCAGTAAATACAACGAACATACCAAGACAATGACGAAAAAATAAATTTTTTTCGAAACTTTTTACCATTCAACAGGAGAGGATTAAGCGGTAAACAACTTTGTAGATCTTTCGTTAGTTTCAATCTGTTCCTGAGCACACTTCCCTCATTTCAGAGAAATACTGTATCTTAGTCTCTAATTTACTATTACTAGACATAATTTATTGATATTAATTAGCAAACATTTTTAACATTCAAAATAGTCATCAAAGTAATCCATCTCAATACATATTGTTTGCTAATAATCATTTTTAAGTTTTTGTTTTGTTACTTTCGATTATCAACACTGGAAACCAAAATTTCCTATAAAATGTCCTTAGTTGATATAAAACAATGTTCACACATAACATTTATTTATTAAAAAAAAAAAAAACACTCAGTTAACAGAGAAAAAATCATAGAAAACGATTTTCCTTGATAAATAAAGAACCTATCGCCATCCTCAAACATAAACAAATAAAAAAAAAATCAAACAAAAATGTAAGTTCATTTATTTATCAAAGTGAAATTCCACTCATGGAAATGAACCAGATATACCTTCATCCAGTTATCTCTAAATAGCTCTTTCTCCTGGATCATCAGCTTGTTTGTCATTAACTGATTTCCAAAATAGAAGAACATGATTTTCTGGACAAGTACTAAGAATTTCATGGAGAACAGTCTGAACAACTTTAGTACTAGCAGATAAACAGTAGCTTTCAATGCAATTTAAAAGCAATCCTTCAAGGGCATCACTGTCCCGATTAAATTTATCAGTCTCATCTGGAAATAAAAAAGTTAAGATCTGATTAATGTAATAGTGTCTTCATTCTGTGCTCTTAATAAGAGTTATTTGCCTATATGAAAAATACATTGTCCCAAAATTTAAAATAAATATTTGTGAAATACATTACCTAACCATCTACTTTTTTACTACAGAAAAAGTATTTTGTATTAACTTTTGAGGGAATAAAAAGAAAACAAATGTTTTACAGAAAAAGGTTGCCTATTAAATAGTTATTAGGTTTCCACATTACAATCAATGCATCTTGTTTAAGAGTTATTACTTTGTGTTGTTAATTAAGAGCGATAACAGTGGCGCTCCATGCATTCCTACAGGTTTATTCATAATAATAATATATTTGGTATACTTGGCTTCAAATTGTTTACAACACTTAATTTGTCAAGTGTTTCTCTATTTGCCTTTATGTTTATAATACTTTGACAGTGATAAACAATGAGGTATAAAGAATTTTCATTTAATAGATGAGGTGTCTACTAAAGTAAGTGAAAACTCTCATTTTAATTGTTAAGTTTTTTTAATGAACATTTATGAAAAGATAATAAAATTGCTATAATAAACATTTACTAAAAAGTTAATTTAAGCTGCAAAACATACACCCACAACAAAGACAGACTGATTCTATTCCATCAATGGTTAACTTTTTTCATGCTTTTTGTAATTGTTTTTTACCAATTGTTGTTATCTTATTCAGACAATTGAAAGAGCTAAAAATCTGAATGAAAGATTTGAATATCCAACAGCACAAAAAGTAAATAAAAAAGTTAAAAAAGGTCTTTAATGTTTAATGAGGCCTTTAATGTTTCATCTAAATAACTTCTATTTATAATGGATTAGTACACTTCTAAAAAATCATAGGCTCATAAGCTATGTTAGTGCTAATGTTCCTCAAAATAATCCACTTTATTCTTAAGAATTGATGGCTTTACTTTTTTATTACTATTTGACTAATATTACCTTTTATAACTATGACTTATGGGAAATATAACCTTTAAGGAATAATAAGCAGTCTTATAAGAAGGGTATGAGGCAAGATCCATCCAATTCAACCAAATCGTTCAATATAGTGAATGACAACGTATAGTGAACAAATACCATTTTCTTAAATTTTAATATTAAGACACCACTTACCATAACTTTGCATGTTTAACAACATGTTCAACAGATATAGCACCCTCTTCAAAATATCGGAGTCAAAATAAACATTAATTATGGTATCTAGAACTGATAAAGAAGAAATCAAAATGTCATCTATACAGTCATCAGGTCTTTGGATGATTCTTTTACAAATTTCTCCTAAAGGAACACCATAGTGACCTACACAAAAAAAAAAAAAAAAATTGAACAGACAATATTTGAATATAAAATATAAAGTAATTGAAACTGCATCTTACATAAAATAGTTCTTCCAGTTTCATAACCTGTAAATGAGGACAGGACAGTTGTCCAATGAGATGCAGCTTTACAAAGAGATTTACTCGGGAAATTTTCATCGAGAGCCCAGCCAGAATATAACTCTTTCCAACATTCTATCATTCCAGTAATCATTTCTACAAATATAAATATAAATATGGCACTAGTAAAAAGCAACACAAAAAAAATTTTAAATTTAATACACGAAAAAAATATTTCATAATTATATTGACAAAAACCTAAATGCATACACTGTTGACAACCAGGTGGAAAAGCCTGTAAGTGCAAAGACTAAAAATATTCAAGGCACAAAAAAGTGGATTTTGTGTGTATACTATCCCAAGGAGGAATATTCCGCGATAATTTTTACTCAGTTCAGCTCCCCTTTTTGTTTATTATATATACTAGTGCTTCAGACCATTCTTTGGGCATCTTTTCAGAAGTCCATACATCCAAAATAATCTGATACACATCCTCCCTGATGTCCTTTCCTGCATTCTTAAGCATTTCTGCATTTATATCATCCCCTTCCAGCGCCTTATTATTCTTGTCTGTAACCCAAGGCCCAAATTTCATCAATGGTAAACCGACAATCACTTTTAATAAGCACTAAAACGGCTCTCAAATCTTATCGACTATAAGACATCCTTGGGTATCAATCATGACTTTCCTTTTAGTCTTTTTCTCACTCACTCTTGATTTTGGGACAGTCCACAAAATCCATCAAATGAATACAAATTTTTAAGGATTTAACACATTCAATGGTTAAGGATATTATGATTATGCATTGAGCAAAAGATAAATAAATATAACAGAATCATCCAGCTTATGCATGATTTTACTGAATTTAAAATAGTCCAAATTAGAAAACAAATTGTAAATATTCTGAAGGCAACTACATTGACAATAGAGGATAGTTCAATTTTTATAAAACTTAAGTCAATAAACACAAAAATGATTTTATTTACCTTCATATCTTACCAACATCACGTAACTATAATTTCATATCAAAGAGAAGAATAGTTGGGGTGGTCAGTCAAAAAGGAAGGCAAAAATAAATGATAATATTTATTTGTTTACATATGCCGACGTTTTGACCTGAAGTTCAGGCCTTCATCAGGGCTAAGAAAATAACCAGATAACAAGGTATGAGAAACATAAGTAGTGATGGTAAAAAAAATAAAAAAAAAATAAAAAAAATAAAATACATAAATATAAAGTAAAATGAAATTATTAGAATAATGACTAAGAACTAAGAGAAAAATAATAATAACCGTTACAGAGTGTGGAATGGTTATTATTATTTATCTCTTATAAATTAGTCATTATTCTAACAATTTCATTTTACTTTATATTTATTTATTTATTTATTTTTTTTTTTTTTTTTTTTTTTTTTTTTTTTTTTTTTTTTTACCATCACTACTTATGTTTCTCATACCTTGTTATCTGGTTATTTTCTTAGCCCTGATGAAGGCCTGAACTTCAGGTCAAAACGTCGGCATATGTAAACAAATAAATATTATCATTTATTTTTGCCTTCCTTTTTGACTGACCACCCCAACTATTCTTTTCTTCATTATCCACGACAGTCAACCAATTACCAATTATTAATAATTTCATATCATTTCAAAAAGCACTATCATAATTTAACATGAGTGTTAACAATTATTAAATTAAAACATTAATACCTGGACTACAAAAGTATTGGCTGAAATCTTTATCACTGATTTCCAAAGCACACAAAGTATTGAGAAATTCTAGAACAGAGCTTAACAATTCCTCTGAAAATAAAATAGATAATCAATATTCAAGCAAAAATTAAGCCTTATCATCAATAGAATATTCTTAGTTGTATATAAATACCATTAGTAGAACTGTTTAAAATAAAAAATATATGCTTAGAAAGCCGAGAGTTTGAAAGTTCACTTTCAAGCCAAACAGCTGAAAATCCTGATTCTTTGACTAAATCCCAAGCTATAGAGTGTAGCAGTCGGACAAGCTGAATAAGAATGTGAGGTTCGGGGCGTTCAAATAACTTAAGCAGAAATGTAATAGTATTTTCACATTTCAGTAATTCAGTTCGTACATTTTCTTGGCAACACATATTCCCAATTATTCCAACCAAAATCTCCTGAAATTATACTAATTCTTAGCAACTTTAAACATAAAGATAATGCGACAAGACAAGAAAGTAATACTCATACAATGAAACGGTTGTTCTGTGATACTTGTAGGGCATCAGTGACAATAAGAAAAATATTCTGATCCATTAAAAAGTTGACCACATCTTTTTCTAGAGTCATATCCCAAAGAGCACATAATTCACTTTCAAGCTCTTCATTCCAAGAATCATCGGAATACTGACCAGTAATGAATAATAATTAAACAAATAATACTAATCAATAAATTCATATTTACAAAACTGAATTAAGAACCTCAATTATTTTCATCAGAGTCTTCAGTACCCAACGTTCACTATAAAGAGTATCTCCAATAGCATCACCTTTCATTTTTTCTAAATCAGCTATTAAATACTCAGGAGCACTTGGATTACAGCATGGTAACTCACTAAAACATCAACATTTATTGCTTGCTCCTTAATGAATTTAGGAATCAATAAAGAAATTATTACCTTTCTTGATTGTCCATCTTAGTAGAATATCAAATCTCAGCCCAAGTATATAAATAAAAATGGATTAGTTTAAATTCTAGCCATATCAGTTAAACCAAAACTTAAGTCACCAAAAGATTTGTTCTATCTTTGTCGACGATGATTACAAAACATAACATATCCACTATCACTGAAACCAACACAGAATCAACGATATCAATATTTTAGTTTATAACCTGAGCTGTCAATACCTCTTCAGGAAACATGTATAGAGGTTACAACGCAGGTTACAAATATTGAATGTTTTGCGATTTCTCCTGAGAGTTTGCCTGTAGTGTGGGCCCAGCATCATAGTTTAACTTAACCAACAATTTGATATCGTTTTCACTGATGACTGATTCCTAAAAATATTTCTTCTTCAGATGTCTTCTCCAATTTCAAACCCTCGTTCACCATCTACTTTTTCTCCTGTCTCTGGTACTCATAAATATTTTTTTTAATATTACTAAAACTATGTTATGCTATTTTTTTTAAAGGTTGAAATGGTTTTTCGGTTTAAAACCAAACTCATTGAACCTTAATTTTTAGTTGTAGAAAGTCCTATTACTGCTCAAAAAGGACAGCTAAGAGGAACTCCTAGAACAGTTCGGGATGCAGTTGCAGAACTGTTTAATAATATTCAGGAATGGAACAGGTTACATATCTCAGGAATGTCAATTATTCAAGAAATCACTAGTAAAAAGTTAGAGTCAATGTGAGGTGATAGCTGAAAGTTATTTTATCTATGATTATAATTAACTTCTTGATTTTTTTTTTTCTGATAAGTTTATTATTTTTGTAGAAATAAAAAAGAATCTGGTCCCAACATGTTTCCTGAAGGATTGCAAGTTGATTGCAACAAATTGGATTCAATTTGTGCTCAGTTGGTAAACATTTTTATGTATTTATAATGGTTCTCTTCCTTGAGCATTCACATTCTCTAACTAATGCGGATATTCTAATTCTTTTTCTTTTATTTGTTGATGTAATTTATATTTATCATCGGCATCCCTAAATTTTTACTGCCTTGATTTTTTTGACAATTAAAATTTGTTAAGATGTAAGTTAAGATATAATTACTGTTGAAATTATAAGGATGAAAAATGGATAGAATGCGTAGTCAAAAATTTCTTTATTGAGTTTGCCTATGTTTTGATCCAAACATATGGTTCATCTTCAGAGCAGTGGTTTTGCCCGGCAGTTGACGGTTCTTGTCCGTCCTTTGAAACACTGTACTGATGATGACCCACATGTTTCGATCGAAACATTGGCAAACTCAATAAAGAAATTTTTGACTGCATATCCTGACCAATTTTGATCTCTAAAATGTATTAATTGTTTACACTTTTTATATTTCTCTTTTAATTAGTGTATTATTATTTAACTATAAATCTTTATTTATTATATATGTTATCGCATTAAGTATGAAAGAGACACAATTCAAAATTTCTTATATAGAAAATTTTTATAGTTTGATCCCTATCATTCAAAAGAACAGCCAGTCCTCAAATATTAACTACAAACTATGGAGACAATTGGTGATCCATCAGCAAAATGTGTTAGAGGTAACACATTGGGTGCTTTTATGTAAAATCTAATGTTTGTTTTTACGAAAATAAGGTTTTGCTTATTACCACAGATAGAGGAGGATTGTGTTCACTCAGAAAGTGGAAACAATTTTGTCCTCAGATTAGAAAAAAAAAGTAATTGTGCATCTTGGTTTCTTTGCATATGCATTCAAACATCTGTTTTCCCTTTTTTTCAAAACCATCTTGTTCGAGTCAGCCTAAAGTTGGAGATCAGTGTAAAAATAGACTAGTATCAATTTTATCAAATTCTATCCCTAATGCCTATATGTCAAAAAGGACTTAACCAATTTGGCCCACAGTTGGACAAAATTTTATAACTGTTCATCAACTAATTTTAGTTAGATTTGCAGAAGATTATTTTCCTTAACTAATCTATATTTCACTTCTGTATATTTCATTCTCCTATGACAAATCATTGGTCTTAAAATATAAGAAATAATGTACCCAATCGAATAGTGGAGAAAGAAATATTGATCCTATTTGAATTGAATCCTTTTCGTTCAAGATGTTTGTGAATGTATATATAGATTGTTGTAACAAAAAAAAAATTATAAACTGCTGCAATAAACTTTAGTAATTAATCTCAAATTTGGGTACTAGGTTTCTACAGGAATTAGGAATGGTTTACAATCACATCGGTCACGCTTGTTCATGGAATGATGAAATGAAATTTATCTGGAATTATCCAAAAGAATACAAAGACAACTGATCTCTTGAGTTAATTAGCTACAAATAACTTTACCAACATTAAAGTTGTTGTATAAACTTAACCATGTATAGTTATACGCCATAAACCAACTTATATTTGACATTTAGGTTACATAACATAACCTTTATCGAGCTTATACATATATTGTACAGCTGTAAAAAAAATATAGTAATAGATAAAAACTTTTAGTTATTATATCGCTGAATGCTGTTTCTCTATTTATAGGTTTTCTTATTGGTAATTTCTATTGTTCAGTATCATGACATTTTCAGAGGCTTTTGCACTGAAGCCTCCCCAAAATAGTAAAACAATTTTCCATTGATCCATATTTTTTTCCTGTGAGTGATCTAATCTAAATACTTAAACAATTCCAATATTTACTCTTTAAATAATAACTTCTTAATGTGTCATATGTCAATAAAAAATGTTATCCCTAAAAGCATATTTTTTTTAAAAGGCCTTCATCAATGGCCAATTAAACTTAATTTTCTTTCCTTTCCTTCCAGAGTAATCACCATTATAAAAAAAAAAAAAAATGCATGATGTAACATATAGTAATATTCGGCGTACTATGAGTAAGTATTACTATAGTGATTGTGAACCAATTCTAATCCGTGTGGAACTCTCATGAACTAGTTTCCAATTTTGAACTATTGCATCATTAGTGTCCAATCATTTGATCAAAAAAGAGTTTTTTATTAAGAAAAGCATATGTGCTTTGACTTTAAACTCCATAAATAAAGCATACTTATATATCCTAAATTAATTAATTTTTGTTCAGGAGTCTGTGGTTAAAAAAATGGAAAAGATTCTAAATAATTTCAAGGCTATAGAACAGCTGGAAGAGATGAATAAGACTGGAAGAAGATCTATCTTTACTACCTGGAATGCAGAAAAATATGGTAATTTTGTGCTCTATTTTAATTTCCATGTAAAATATATAATTATTTGCTGGTTTGATTTTTTCATGTATTAAAAGATATTTATGTTTATGTGTATATATATATATTATTTTATTGATATATTAAGATATTTATTTATATATTCTTTAACTTATAGAAACATTTACTATTAAGTTATTGATTATTATATTTTACAGTTTCTGCCGTAAAAGCCATCTTTGAAGCTTATGACACTGAAGTCAAGGTGAAATGCCATATAAAAGAAAATATTGCCCATGTTGATGGCAAAGATAAGATGATGCTGCACTGTGCGCTTTGGGCACATCAACCCTATGTGGATAATGTGCTTGATTTTTACTTAGAATCTATGTTGAAAGAAACTGGTCATAGATGATCTATGTTAATTTAAAAAAAAAAAAAATTTATAACCTTATTTGCTTTTTTGTATTTATTTATTTTTCACCTTTTACTTTTAGATTGTAAAGTTCTAATCTGGCTATGTCAGATAATTATTTATTTTGTTACACCAGCCATGGATCGATCCTGGGATCGGGAGACCATCCTCAGTAGTAGTGGGGTGTTAAGTAACAATATGTTTAATTTAAACAGATGCAGTTAACTGTTTCACTCATGATTAAACAGATATTAGGATTAACTTCCATTAGGGAGCAAGTTATTCTTAAAATCAGTGCTGAGCTCATCGATTCCATCGAATAGATTTACAGAGTTTAGGAACCTACCCAAGACAACTCACTTACAGGTTAGTAGGTGGAGACAGCGATCCCGATAGGAAAAGAAGGAAAGACTGAATCTGTTTAATTTAAACAGCTACAGAAGCTGTTTAATTTAAACAGATACAGAAACCCGTTTCATTTAAACAGCTTCTTGTAACAGATACAGAAACAGTTCTCTGCAACAGATACAGCCCTGCAAAGCAAGTTCATTCCTCTGAAATAGACTCAGTCCTCTAAAACTGATTCAGAAATTATGCCTTGCAGTAGCACTGCTTTATTTTTTCTTTTTAATAGTTGTTTCTATGAAAAACCGGCCGTCGCATTCTTGCAAGCTATAAACTATTTACTCTTAAGTGAACAGTTTTAGCAACTCCTTTTCCTATCTACTCGTAATTGTGTTGTTTTTTTTCATTATTTTCACTATCATTTAAATTGATAATTGCTTTAAAGACACTTCACATATTTTTATTTATTTTTTTTAAAGTAGCAAAAACTGTTGCAACTGCTACTGATGTTAAACAGCTTTGCCCATCACTAATACTCCACCTCTATTAAGTGAGTAATCTTAATTAATTAAGGGAGAATACATGTTGGTTGAGGTTGATCTTGGTCCAATCACCTCTTTTTACAATCACAGACCAGAAACAGTTGCAAAGAAATCAACCCAAGACCCTTTATGGATTGTAGTGATACATTCATGAGTCGCTTCAATCTATCCTTGAGTACCATCGGGATGCCTCCGTACACCACACGTAGTCAAAGGGGAGGGAAAATTAGAGAGGATACAAGGAGCTTGCGGATGGGTTGTGGGAGTAGGTGGCGGGAGCGATGAAATAACTTAAGGATACCTATTGACTTTCAGGAGATGAGAGCAATATAGGGTTTCCAGGAGAGGTTTTCGTCTATGGTGATTCCTAGGTTTTTAACGGAGGAACTGAATTTGATGGGATGATCGTTGATAACTAAACGAGGAAAGGAGGAGATGGATTTAAGAAATGTCCAACACTACCCTCCGAGGCTTCTAAAAAGAAGATGGCCTCGAAATCTCCTTTTGTAAATACATTTTTAGAGTGATACCAATGGGTAGTTTCTCAACAAGTGGTTTCATGTTATTATTATATTCTTGTGTTCACATTTACTGAATGTATTTTTATTTGTAATACTGTTGTAAATATCATAAATAAAATTTAACACTAAAAAAGATACAAAAAAAAACAAGAAAATATTAAATTTAACCTTTGGGCTCATTTAGCCAACTTGAAAGCTGAAGATATCACTTAAAATTAAACTTAATATTAGCAAAAAACAACAACTACGTTTTCAATTCGAGTATTTCTTAATTAATTTTAATTAAACACAATTTTTAAATACTAGTTCATGTCATGCAGATCTGCCAAATATAGGTGTTTTTTTAAATATTCTTAATAGCTTAATTAAGGTTTCAAGTCACAGAACATATTTGCAATAGAGTAATAACTAATAAACTTTTTGTCTGCGTAGATTGAGAACCGTTCTTGGGAGTAAACCTTGACTCTACAACTTTACAGTAACCTCAAAAATTACCAACGGTTAGGAATAGACTTGTGTATAACAAGGGCAGAGCTTTCCTCTCTCTTACTGTTTATATTTCACTGACTCTCATATTTTTAAAAATCATCTCAATTTTAAGGGAAGAGTATTGTAGTATATAGAAAAATGACAGTCAAGCTGTTGCAAAAGCCTGCAAGCATAAATTTATTGGAAAGTGAAGTTCTAAGTTTTTCTATTCAATCTTGGCTTTCCCTATATTTAAAAATACAAACGTAAAACATTAAATCTTGAGTTAAGCATGCAATAATTTGGAAATAGTAAACAAAAATTCATATAAATAACAATATCAAACATTTATTCATAAATATACAGCATTTTATATATACAAAAATATTTAAAACTCATACTGCTAGGCTATCATTGCCTAAACATGAACACATCTAGATTACGTTAAAGAATTAATATAAACATTCTTCCATTTCAGTCCTCTTTTCCTAATAATTATACACTCAGCTTATCAAAAAATAAATACAACCTCGATATGTATTTTCAACATTCTATACAACTTTTTTTTTTATATGTATCTCAAAGGCACCTGTTTGATATTTATTGTTAGCGTTAAATAAAGTTACTAAGTTCAGATTTATTTTTTCTCTATAAAATTTTAGGAAAATAAATATAAACCAATAATGTATCTTGTTTATTTGTTTACAAATATATATATATCCCAGTGATCAAATAACAGGATAATTAAATTAATCTCTTATAAGGTTTTGCTTAATAACGTTTTCTATGGCTTGACACAAGAACGATCAATATCAATTTCTACTCTAATGATATTGGAGTAATAACTTCATAAGAATAAGCTGTGCAGTGGCAACCTTAGAGGTAGAGTTAAGAGGGCATTCCGTTTTGGATCCCATTTACTAAGGAGGCATGATTTTTTTTTTTAAATTAATAATTTTTAAGTGGCCTAAAAAATGCATCTGCCGCTGACCCCAATGGTTTTGGTACTTTATTGATTAAAGACTAGCCATGGATCCTTTTAGCATTGTCATTTATGAAACCAATATCATTTCACATTATTTATGTTCAGGTCTATATTCCTGTATAAATCAATTCTTACTGAAATTGTGAAATTTCAATGTTGGTGTTTCGCCATTATGCCCCATATTTTAACAATAGAGCATTAACACATACACATATATCCATTCATTCATTTTCCAAGATATAAATATATGTATTTCTTTATTTTATTTTTTGTGTGTGAAAATTGGTTCAGAAAACAATTTTCAACTTAAAAAAAAATTATTTAGATAAACAATTCAGAGAACCTATTTTGAAAAATTGTAATGCCCTTCTACAAAGTTTTACACATTAACAATATCTATTGACTAGCTATTTGGCAATTCACTTGCTTCAAATAAATATTTCATTTCATTGCCATAATTTATTTTACTAGAGATCATTATCTTTTTTTTTTTTTTTTTCGTGTAGCAATCAGCAATTCCTCAGATCAGGCTAACTATTAATTGCCATTAAAAAAATAAGTCAGAAATTTATAATGTTTCAGTTCTTTTTAAAAAATGTACAACAGTATATACTAAACAACTTAATATTATGTTGGGCTTCTGGAAACTTCATAAGGTGGCAATCCTTGATAGGCAGGTAAAGGTAAGTGTGGTACAGAATAAGGAAGCATTGGTCCAGGTCCTGGTACAGGTACGCCATTACCGCCGTAGTTAAAGAACCTGGAAATATATTAAACGTAACATATGATTTTATTATAAAAATATCCATTTTTATAAATATTCAAAGCAATAAATGAAACTAAAATTTGTATAAAGTGCTTTAAAAAGTTGGTATCTATTATTTTAATTTTTTCATATATTTTTAAGAATAATGATTAATATATATATTTGTTAAGCCTATATTACTAAAATAGGATTTCTTGAATTTCAGTTCAAAGTTCAATAAGTTTTTGAAATAAAAATTATGATTTGTAGGAAAAGTTTGTTTATGGTGATTTTTAGGGAATAATACAATTTACCATCCTAATCACATAAAATCTAATATTAATCTGAAATTTTTTCTACATTTCACTTCAGGATAATCTGATTTTTTTTAGTATTTTAAATATTTCCAAAACATAGCTGATTTATTTTATAATCATAAAATGAATGATATAGTTTATTTTTATTTTTTGATACTCTCGTATAAAATTATTTTATACTTGCATATTATTTTATATTGTATCAATATTTTATATAATTAAAATAAAAATTATTTGAATTAAGAATTTGTTGTACATGACATATGCATATATACTTGATTAACAAGTATGCACCTAATTTATAGTTTTTGTCTTTCTTAAAAAGTCCTAACAGTAAAAAAATTTAATTACAATTAACATACCACAATCTATCTCCAATGAAAATCGGGCGAGGAGCTGCAACACCCATATTGCAGTAGTACTGTTGTGCAAGCAGCTCTAAATCACTGGTATATTTTCTTTTCCATTTAGTTCTTCTATTTTGAAACCATATTTTTATCTAAAACAAATATAAAGTAAGTTTTAAAATGTTGATTTTTCCAGCTTCTGATAGTTAATAACATAATGTAATATGCAATACATATTTATATGTAATATTTGTAAGACTGACATTTTTTGATTTGCAACAAATTAGCTTTATAGAGGTTATTAGATGGGTCACAGATTTCTTTTCTAATATAAAAGAAACTAGTTGGTACTTGCAGATAATTTGTATACTTTATAGGTCAGTGAAAACATGGTAATATTATATGGAAATATGTAAATGCAATTTATTATAGAAGGTTGGATTTTTTATTTATTTTTTTCCACTCTATCAATTGCAATAATCATTATTCAAACTATAATAATTATTTCCTACAATTATTATAAATTAAGTTAACCAAATATATAATCCAAAATTGGTATATGCAATAATTACTAACCAAAATATATGTGCAGATTGCAATAGGTTGTTTCTTTGATAATAATGCTCCAATTTTGATGATTTTTTTATTTTCCTTTTCAGAGAATTATAAAACTTTCTGATTATATAATCAATATAAATTTTATTCTTTTTGAGTAATGCACAAATAAAGTTTTCTGTTTTCCA